TACATTTCATTCAATCCGCTGCCAGTTCTCTGCTTCGGGAAGCTTCTTCTGCATTTCCTGGAGTTGCTTCCATCAACATGTTAATAAAATTTAATCAAGCATTAATTATATAATATTTTTTACTTTAATTTTATCGTGATTATTATTATTTTTGTCATTTTCACACTAATTATATTAATAAGAATTATTTTAAAAGTGTTTCGTTTATTTTATAAGATTCTTTCGATGTGTTATTTTTTCTAAGTTACTTTTAGTTAATTAACATATATTTGCTAAAAAAATAAATATTTGAAATGAATGATACAAAATTTGTCTTTCCTAACTTAATTGGAGAATACATCAAAAGTCTTATTCAACTATTTAAGTTTTAATTATGAGAAGAGTAATTTTGGAATAATAACATAATTAATGGTAAAATTTATTTTCTAATTACTTTAATTAACATTTATAAATGATTTAAATTAGCAAATAGGATAAGGTAGAAAGGAAGAAAATGTATATAGAAAGATAAAATGCAATGAAATGAGTCAACTTTTTATTGGACCGATTTAGCTGTGTCCTTTCCAATTTCCATGGTGTCATCGTCCTCATGATCATGTGTAAATATATTGAACTGAACCACTTCAGAAGCTTGTAATTGGTCACCCAGGAGAAGATAACTTGAAGCATAAGCAAAGAGCCAAACATAGAAAATCTCATCATTTCGACACAATTAAAGACTTAGGCAGGGTTATTCCACAGGGATGTTTCGGTAATTCCACTCATTCCTTCCTTCCTTCCTTCCACCGTCGCTTTCAACTGTTACACACTGAACTCTCTTCTTCCTTTTCACACCATTTTGGTTCCATTGCGCTTCTGTAATCTCGTATTTGTACTTTATACTAAATTGGGTAGAGTTCAGTAGTGTCATTGGATGTCAATGGAAATTGGGTCGTTGAACTCGGAATCATTGAACAGAAATGTGGCCATGAGTGTGAGGGGTGGCACTGGGAAGAAACAAGGTGGAGTAGCAAGCAAAGTGGAGCCTTTTGTATCACCAAATGAGCACAACCCAAGAGAGTTACGGTCGTGGGCGAAGAGAACGGGTTTTGTGTCTGATTACTCAGGGGAAGCGGGGACAAGTGGGAGTGCAAAGTTTGAAGCTTTTGAGAGGAAGGGAGGAGGGTCATCTCCCAAGATAGAGATAGATCCGGTGGTGGGGAGGACGAGACGAGACGAGATCGAAACAGAGTCTCGTGGAGGTGCACCGAGGGCTGAGAATGGTGCTGTCTTAGATGAGAGGGGGAGAAAAGAGAAAGAACGTGATGGTGGTGAAAGGAAAGTTGCATTGAATGGTAATGCCAATAATGGGATGGTGAATAGGGAGGGGAATGGGCATGGAGTCTCTGCAGTTGCTCCGGTGAATGAGGAAAAGGAGGGGGAGGAGGGGAATGGCGATGTTAAGGTCAATGTATTTCCGGAAGGGGAGGAGCATCGTGATGGAGGGTGGCAGAGACCGTTGGGATTGAAGTGCGGGCTCAAAGAGAATCCTGGAATTGGTTAGTTTGTGCTCTTCTTTTTTTCTGTCGGTTGTAGATTCTTTTTCACCATTGATTTCTTTAGTTTAAATGCGTTTATATTTTATCTTAAAAATTTTGAAGCTGTAACGCTGTGAGTTCAACAATGTGAATGGTATGTTGCTAACTTCCCATCTTGGATGTTCTGATGCTTGCTAATAAATTCTTTTTATATCTGCGTGAATTGGTCTGTAGTGATGTGTACCATGAGTGAGTTTATTTGGATTTTGGTGTGAATAGCATCGACAGCTTTATTCTGCAGTTGCTAATTTATTTTCCGTGACTGATTGAGGATAATTTCCGTTGGGGAGAAAGAAAATAGGAATGTGTTCAAAATTAGGAAAGTGAGAGCAGAGATGTCTATTGTTTACAGGATTTCATAGAACTGATGGAAAGCTACATTAATCCTTCTTAAGGAATTAAGTTTCCAATTCCACATGACTCCAACCCCAGCTGGCCTTGTTAAGGTTTGATGCTTGTCAGCAACCAACATGTTCGAACCCCTTGATTCCTTTCCAAATAGAGTCAGCGGAAGTGAAAAATAGATCTAGACAATGTCATCTGAGAATACCAATTCTTGATTTCCTTCAACATGGATGAGATAAAAGGACTTTCTGAACGAACCCATTTTCCCAGTTCTTTCTTCCATAGCATTGTCTTAACTTATTATTATCTCAACACTTACAAGATTGACTTGTATAGTCCTGCTTCTATAAGAGGCCAATATTTTTTTACCTAGTTTTCACTTACGTCTTTGGGTTTTTTAATTGCAGTACCTCTTATCTATTATGGCCTGCAACACTATCTATCATTAGCCGGTTCTCTTGTGTTGATTCCCTTAGTTATGGTACCGGTCATGGGTGGAACAGATGTAAGTATATGCTTTTATTTACTATTTACTGCATGTAACTCTAACAAAATCGATAGTTTTATCATATTCTTATCTGTTTATTTTGATTTTACATTAATCGCTGAGGACAGAAGGATACTGCTACCGTAATCTCTACAATACTGTTTCTTTCTGGCATCACCACAATACTGCACTCCTACTTTGGTACTCGACTGCCTTTAGTTCAAGGGAGCTCATTTGTGTATTTAGCACCGGCATTAGTGATCATAAATGCTCAAGAGTATCGCAATCTCACCGAGCATGTAAGTTCATTATTTAATTCATTAGAGCATCACTTCCAAGCCCTTTTAGTTTAGGCAGACAAAATTATATTATCTAAATTTTTAAACTATATACATCTTCAGATACACCTATTACAGAAACTATAGTAGTAGTTAATTTAAGCTTGGCTTGTTTACCATTTAAACTTGTGTATATCTGAATCACCAGCATAAATTTTCTTCTATCCTTTCTGCTTTTATGTATCTGTTATCTTTTAATAGACTTCGTCTATTATGTACCTCTTTATTAGCAAATCACATACAACTTTGACTTCTATTCTGTTAGTTTGGATATATTCTCAGCTTACATATAAAAGCCCTGTAATTGCAGAAATTTAGACACATAATGAGGGAACTCCAAGGAGCTATAATTGTTGGTTCAATATTCCAATCTATCCTGGGATTTAGTGGTTTTATGTCTGTTCTACTCAGGTAAGATGTTACAAGCCATATCTTAAGTTAGAAAATGTCTTTTGTCTTGTGCTAGATTTAGTAAAGTATGTTAGCTTTCCACTTTACTCCCTTGCTTAATATTTAACACGTGTTAGCATTAGCACACGGAAAAGCCATATGCATAAAGGGAATTTATATTGATCAAGGAAGTTGTAGAAGCTACTGACCTTTTATCTCTAGAGGGCTGTAAACACTTTAGCCTGATCTGTTTATTCTTTACGATTTTAGGTTAATCAACCCAATTGTGGTTGCCCCAACTGTTGCTGCTGTAGGTTTAGCATTCTTCAGCTACGGTTTTCCACAGGCAGGCACTTGCCCAGAAATTACCATTCCACAGATAGCACTGGTTCTGATATTCACTTTAGTAAGTCCTATATGCATTTCAAGTAGCACCAGTACAGTATATTTTGCATCTGAAGCGGTTTTCTATTTGTTGTAATTTGTAAAATTACTTCCTCCATGTTAGAGGCTGTCTGTTGTAAACAGATCATGGCTTTTTGGTTGTTTATTTAATGCTGTAAGGAGCATTCAAAAACTCATTCTCTCTTCTTTTTGTCTTGTTTGAAGTATCTACGAGGAATATCTATCTTCGGGCGCCACTTATTTCGAATTTATGCTGTAAGTATCTTAAATTAAGATGATAATTGTTCATTTCTAATATTGATGACCTATGTCATTCTCTCCTTTTTGTTTTTCTTGATCAATCTTGGATAGTGTTGGCTAAGTCTTTCCATTGGCATGTTTATGTTGTAATAATTCTTGTAACTTGATGTTTTAACATTTTCAGGTTCCCTTGAGTTTGACAATAATTTGGATATATGCATCCTTTTTAACAGCTGGGGGAGCATATAATTACAAAGGATGCAATCCTAATATACCAAGTTCAAACATTCTGTTGGATGCATGTAGAAAACATGCATATACCATGCAGCATTGCAGGACTGATGTTTCCAATGCATTGGCTACTGCTGCATGGGTCAGAATTCCTTACCCTTTACAGTGGGGCATCCCTATTTTCCATTTTAGGACTTCCATAATCATGGTCATAGTGGCACTTGTTGCCTCTGTGGATTCAGTAAGTATCATATTGTCTAGGTTCTAATCTCATTTAACTATTAAGATGAATTTTCATGCTGAAAGCAGGGATCAAACATCAATAGGAGATGAACCTGCAATTGTAACTGTGAACGGCATATCCTTTTTCCAGGTTGGAACTTATCATGCTACATCTCTGCAAGTTAATTCAAGGCCTCCTACTCCCGGTGTTGTGAGCCGAGGAATTGCTCTTGAGGGTTTCTGTAGCATATTGGCTGGTCTTTGGGGTTCAGGTACTGGCTCAACAACCTTGACAGAAAACATGCACACAATTGACATCACCAAGGTGGCAAGTCGGAATGTAGTGGTGGTTGGAGCTGCTTTCTTGATCTTGTTCTCATTTATAGGTAAATAACTCCTGGCGCCAAATTCTTGTTCAACTTTATACATTCTCATTCCTTTCCATTCTGGCTGCGATGGACCTAAGGATGTGCAGTGGTTTCATTTTTGGTACATATTTTGAGTTTCAAAATACGACTTTTAATATAATTTTGTAGGGAAAGTGGGTGCTCTTCTCGCTTCCATTCCACAGGCCTTGGCTGCTTCTGTACTATGTTTCATGTGGGCTCTTACTGCAGCATTAGGCCTCTCTAATTTACGGTTTAGTCAATCAACCAGTTTCAGGAACATTACAATAGTTGGCGTTTCACTGTTCCTTGGAATGTCTATCCCTGCTTATTTTCAACAATACCAGGTTGAGTCAAGTTTGATACTGCCCAGTTATCTGGTTCCTTATGCGGCAGCATCAAGCGGACCATTCCGTTCAGGCATTAAACAGGTTAGAACCTTTAGCCTTAAATATAAAGAAAAAAGGAACAAACAAAAGGAGGACTGATTGAATAGCTTATAGATGAACATGTGAATCTTAAGTTTTACTTAATCACACACTTTCTAACACATCCTAGATGATTTATCTTTATTGAAACTGATATCATGCAGATTTGTCCTTAACGACAAATCTTCATTTTAGCTTGTTTTTCTTGCAAATGGAGCAATATCTTTTTTCCTTTTTGGATCATATGAGCTGACCTGTCATTTTGAATCTTGAAGCTTGATTTTGCAATCAATGCTCTTATGTCCTTGAACATGGTGGTTACACTGTTGGTGGCATTCCTACTAGACAACACTGTCCCTGGCAGACAAGAAGAGCGAGGGGTGTTTGTCTGGTCAAGAGCTGAAGACATTTCCACTGATCCCTCTTTGCTATCTGAATATTCGATGCCGAAGAAGGTCGTCCGGTGTTGCTGTTGTTTCAATTTTAAATGTTTGGGAGTCTAATGCTTGGTTCACTCTGACATTTTAATCTTGGTAATATTCCTTCAAGATAAAAGTCACTCCTGGATGTGTCTATTATTCTTTGTGGGACTGGAAAGATATTGCCGCTCGTCAAACGTAAATTATGCAGTGTAATATAGCTATAGTGACATTAGGTTGGGCACAGACTGATTGCTGTAGAAGATTTATTATGCTTGGGAGACTGCAATTTTTTACACGTTAAATTGTCTTGCTGAAAAACCAAATAGTGTACTTACGTATTGATATATTTATATGAATAAGTATTCCATTTTGCTTTCATGTTGAGTTAAAACTTTATAGTTGTAGCAAGTCTCTGACTGTGACAGTAAAAAATACTAGTAAGTGAAAAGGGAGGAAGTTTTAGGCTTGAACCTACCCATGACTGGCTAATTTAATTGGTAACTTTTCCTTTGGAGTTAATGGTCCACCGGTGGCAATGAGAACAAAAAATCAGCACTAGTCACAAATTAATAATCTGTACATATGATCTAATGAACTAAAAATAATCAGGTATTAGTGTGTAAGTTTAGGTGGTTTATTGGTCTGCCAATCCTCAATTAGGGAACGGAGAGTGTGATTCGGGGTGAGGAATGTGTGTTTCAGCCTCAGATTTGTCATTGGTGATGTGTCACGCCCCGATTGCAGCCAGTGGTCTATTGCTTCAAGCTCATAAGAAAACCCATCTGCTGCCAAGTGTGGGTTTTTCATTACCTCCTGCACCCAACAAAACAACCTTAAGTCTATGAAACAAAAAGACTAACCCCACTTTCGCCTGTCTGTCCAAACATCATTTGAAGGACTCGACAAATGATCAAACTTGTTATCAGTTGGCCAGTGGGTTTTTCGAATTTAATCAGTATCATGAAAGTTTGTCACATATCATATATGTTGCAGATAAAGAAAGAAAAAACCATATTTAGGAGAAATATTTATGTATGTAAAAGAAAGTTCTTTGAAAGATGAAGAAGCCAACCTGAAGTATGGGGCAAAGAAAAACACTAGGCACATCACTGGTTCCCTCTCTATCTACACACCCACCAATAATTGCCTTTCGTCCTTCCCTTCCAACTATTTCATCCCCCTTTCTTCTTATCTCATTCAGTTCCTCCAAGACCTTTGCAATGCTCAGTTCTGAAGTTCTATTGCTTTTCGTGGACACACACATCAAAGCCAGGCCTGCAAGTTCTATTGCTAGATCCAATGGCCATTGCCCAGCCATCTCATCAAGAACGCTAGCCAAAGCCTCTCTGTCCATATCCACGGCCATCACCTCCTCAATCAGCCCGGCCCAATTTCTTCCTGTCAAAAGATGCATCAACAAAACCCCTATAGCCTGCAAATCTGACTCGACGTTACACTGTTCGTCACGGCAATCATGGAGACCAAAGCCCGTTATCTTTGCCACCAAATTGCGGTCTAGGAGGACTGTGGATGGGGTCAAATGGCAGTGAACGACGGGCCTTGGTTCAGCTCCATTGAGAAAGCCCAGGCCTGAACAAACTTCTGTGGCAATTCGTATTCGGTCGTACCATCTTATAACGCGGTTTTTTCTCCTAGAAAACAGCATGTCTCTTAAGCTTCCGTTGCGCATGTATTCCAAAACTATGCATTTGGGCTCGGAGCAAAACCCCGCCATGGCAATCAGATGAGGATGCCTAATATCACCAAGAAGCCTCACCTGAAAATGCAGTCTAAATTAGTATTCTATGCACATTAACTTTTGTTTTTAATTTCCTATAATCGATTCTGACTCTAAAATCACATATCATGAATGTAGTTTTAGCTTTGAACCTGGAATCGGAAAGAATTGTATAAGAATTGAATCCGACAAAAAGAAAATGCACCTTGGATTGGAAATGTTGGAGGGAGAAAGAAGGGAGCATCTTGATGGCAACAGTGGAGTGGTTGAAGCGTCCCCGGTAAACATTGCTCCAATCTCCACCGGACTTCAACCTCAGCCGCTCGGAGAAGTTGTCGGTGGCCAACCGGATCTCCTCCGCCGTGTACTCGCGGAAGGTGCAGCGCGTGTCGGCGAGCCTGGCCGCCATTCCAATTGCGTCCTTCTGTTTGCAGAACTCGATCCTTCGGTTAAGCACGTCTCTCTGGCGCCTGAGCTCCTCGATCTCCCTCACCATCTCTGTTCTCTCCCCTACCGCCCTCTCGAGCTGCGTCTCCGCCCGCGTCTTGGCCAGCGTCCATATTTGAAGCCTATTGGAGAGCTCCGATTGCACCTCCGTCAGGGAACTGAGTCTCCTCCTCCTCTCTTCCACCTCCATTCTCATCTCCTCCGTCTGCTCTCTCTCCGCTTCCCATTCCTTCTTTAGCTCCTCCTTAGCACCCACCTCTTCTCGAATTCGACCTTCCACCTCTTCAGCCTAACCATCGCATTCATAATTACAATTTACGTGAATCTCACATGCAAGAAAAATAAATCCCTAGAATGCCGAAGAAGATAGATTACATTTATAATCACAATCAGTGAATAAAATTAAAGTATAACATTACGTGCATTAATCTTTAATGTTTTCTTTAATCCACATATCAATTTACAAAATCCTAATCTTGATAAAAATTTAGAGTATTACCCGACTGTTGCATAGACAAATTGCCCATTCAGCTTTTGCATGCCTCTCTTTACTATCTTTGGCCTCTTTCCTCTTCAATAGAATGGTCTTCTGAGCTTCATTCAGCTGACTTTTCAGGACTTCAATTTTCTCTGCACCACTCTGAATAGGATACAGTGTTAGGCATTACTTTTGACAACACCATGTGAAATAACAAAAGGGAACAAGAACATCCATAAAGTGAGTACATTTTCAAAATTTACACAAACCAAAAGATTGAGAGTTGAAAATTGGTTCCATATTTTGAAAACTAAACACATTAAATATTAGTATAAATACCAATGGGCATGAATTTGTTAGAACATACATATCAAAGTGAGTTTTCTTAAGATGGGTATTTGGACTTTTACAAACAGGCGCCTTCATTTTCAATATTGTACAATGAAAGCAAATCATATTATATGCAAAAAGTGAACCAATCATCTAACAACTCCCTACAAGAAACAAAACGAAAGGGAACAAAGAAGATAAATATTAGCATTAATCAAGGCCACACACATATTTGAGGAAAAAATATCTGTCATTGTTGTAAGATACCATATTATAATTGTTGTGTTCAGTGACATGTGGCTCGTTTGGACCAATCTGTGAGTCGTCATTATCTAGCCCGCAGTTTCCTTCCTCCAACTTGGAAGACAACAATTCTTGATAATAATTATCAATTTCCTGCAGGTAAAATTCCCACTGGTTTCTGGTCACCGGGGACTCCAAATTTCTTGAGGAAACTGATTCACTTTTATCCGGAGAATCCTGGGTTTTGTCATTGAACCATTTGTCTAACCAATCTTTGAAGGTTATCTTATCTCTTATTCTCGCAACCATGACTCCATGATCATCCTCCATGATTTTCTCATCATTTTTTCCTCTCAGGAAAATTTGCTTCCCCCCACAAATAATGAACAGCTCGCAGAAGGAAGGCTTGTGCTGATGAACATAGAACAATCCACTAATAGCACCTTTAGATTTCCTAATCAAGAGACCGAACACATAGCAAAGAAAAACAAGTCAATTTAGCATTACTAAAAAAACGAAATTCTTTGATAAGAAAAGCAAGCAAGTTACACACACGGAGGGCTTCATGAATGAAAATCCCATGACCAATTTGGTTATTCCTAAACCAAAGATCAAGTCTATGACTCGTTTTTGCATTGGTTCATCAGATTTCTCAACTTGAAGAATCTCTGCTGGCACCTGCAATATACAAAATTTCTTTTCGTATGATCTGAGTAATTGGACTTAACAACTATAATTTCGTTTCGAATGTACACACCTTGCCACAGAAAGCAACATACTTGGCAAACAGCTTGTTGATTTTCTCTTGCTCATCTTTCCTGAGAATTTGTAGTTTCTCCTCACTCACAGATCTTGCTGGAAGTTTCCCAACTGCAAAAGAATCTCAAAACTAAGCTAAACCCAATTGAATTTGAGTGCGGAGGATGAAATTAAAGCCGATACACAAGTCCAACTTACATGGTGTATAGACATAATCCATGGGAGTATTGTGTGTGACATGGAGAATAACAACGGAAATTGGATGAGAATTCCATTTCTTTAGAGCCCAATTCAAAGCCTTAAATCCATCTTGTGCATCATTACCAACAGCAACATAAACTTTCTCTGTTTGGATTGCATCCATTTGATTGTTCCAAGCTTCAAAACTCCAACTCCCTATCGGCTACAAGCAGGAAGAGTAATTCCAGTGAAACTCATGTCACAGTACACACGTATGAAAGAGACTTTAACATTGTAAAAGAGGGAGTAAAAAAGGGTGGTATATGATGATTTTCAAAGCTTTCTTTTGGTAGTTTCACAAGTGTTTGATTTAAAGACTATTGTATTAGTGCTTTAATCGGGATTTCCAAGGGAAGGGTCGAAGGTGAGGTCCAAGTTTGGACTTTTGTGTATGGCGTGTGATGATTGCCAAAGCGTGCTGGGGTCGTAGTTACGCATCATCTTCTTAGCCATTTTCATTTTCATTCGTAGTTCCTACTCTTCTAACATATCTACCTATTATTCACTTTTCTTTTTTTCTCATTACAGTATATACTTTTATACAGGTTATATAATCCGATTTTAATTATTTTAATTGATATCATTAATCACTACACATTTGGAATATTTTCTGTTTTAATTAATATGAAACTATTTTGGGTTATAGTAACAACTAATTTTTTTAAACAAATTTTATTACCCATAAAACTTGAATCAAATTTGTTGAAGATATTCAGGTTTATTTTTATTGTTTTAATTACTCATACGGATTATTATGTATATAGTATAGTATTTAAATAACTTATTTCATTTCTCTCTGTTTCTTTTTTTCGTTTTATTTATATTAAATAACTCTTAAATAATAACAAAAAAAAATATCCTTTTCATTTCTTAGTATAAAGCATCTTCAAAATGATCACTTGCATAAGCTATGCAATACGGTGACGTAGACACGCTTTCTAGGCGGCATATGTAGAAAAGCGTGCCCCAAAATCTAAACTGCTCTCTTATTTAATAATTCGTCCATTCTTATTTTTATTTACTTTTGGTTTTGTGAAATACTATAAAAAAATTAATTTTTTTTATAATAAATTAATTTTAAATGTTCACCCTCAGAATGGAGTTATATTATTCAATTTGTTAGCATAGTTGATCTAAAAGC